TTCAATGTATTGCCCATCTTTCTGGCAGTTTGTGACTCCCATCCCAAAAGAACTTCTCCGGCTTGGAGGTCAAGAAAGAATCGAGCCAATTTCCGGTAATCGGAAGGTGCTATGTATGGGTTATAAGGCGGGTGGTTGGTTACCAACCACAGTTTTCTGGTAGCATATTCTGGCCATTTTTCCGCGATGACCTTTTTCAAACAAATCAATTGTTTTCGGTAGAGGTCTCTATTGATCGTCTGATCCGATTTCAATAGCTCATAATAAAGCACACCTTTGTGGTCTTATCAAATACATAGCATAAGCTTGACACCATGGATATTCGGCTTTGCCGTGGATGCCGATGGTTGGCCGGGCTTCACATTCGCTCTCTTGCGCTTTGGGTTATCATAATGAATACATTTTTCATCGCCAGTAGCACACCGATGCAAAAATAACTTCTTTTTGTAGCGTTGAAGCAACATTTCCAACATGCAGACTCGACGTTCGACGTCTCTTGGCTTTAATTCATAAGGCACCCAATTTTCAACCTTCTGGATTCTAAAGATTTTAGTCGTCTGGAAACGGTTGCTTGATCAATTTCTAATACTTTTGCAAGTACCTCTTGCGTCTGACATGCATCTTCGTCGAACAATGTCTCCAATTCTCCGCCTTGAATTTTTTTTTGGCTATCCTGGTCGTTCTCCGTCGTCTAAGTTGAAATTGCTACTTTCAAACCGTGCAAACCACTTTGGCACGTTCCTTCGGCTATAGCGTGGTCACGATAAACGTCCAGTAAAATACGATGGCTTTCGCAAAACACATTATCTGGTACAAATCTCGACGTTTTCAAATGAATGAAACAAATTGTTGTTCACGCTAAAACAAATAATATCTACGAAACGAGGCGAAATGACAGTACCTTTGAAATGAATAGAGCAACACATTAACACGACACAAAATAATACTAGCAGAGCCCTCTCTTAGAAAACTGCACGAAATAATACTTTTAAGATTATATTTACTGTACTAGTTAACTCGGTATTTATTTTTATTTTTTTAGTTTATTGCTAATATTTCGATATTTATTATCTATTAGTTTATCAAGTTCTGTCCTGACTATTTGAAGGTCGTGGAAGTATTTTATATTGGGTTGCCAAAAAAGTAATTGCGGATTTTTTATATAGTCGGCGTTGACAAATTTTTTCAACGGCTTGTGACTGTAATTGCATTCTTTTTTCTGTCAGTTATCAGCTGTTACTTTTAGCTTGCTTTAGAAAAGAAGTGCGCGAAATTTTGTTTACATTTGTTTGTTTGGCGTCAATTTTAATATGAAGCCCACTAAGGAGCATTTTCGTCATATTTTACTTTATTATTTCCGTAAAGGAAAAAACGCGGAGCAGGTTGCTAAAAAGTTACGAGATGTGTATGGTGATGAAGCCTTAAAAGGAAGACAGTGTCAAAATTGGTTTCGCAAATTCCGTTCTGGAGATTTTTCACTTAAAGATGAGCCACGTTCAGGTCGGCCAAATGAAGTTGATGATGACCAAATCAAAGCATTAATCGAATTGGATCGTCATGTAACTGAGCGTGAGATAGGAGAGAAGTTAAATATACCAAAATCAACCGTTCATTATCACATAAAAAGTCTTGGACTGGTGAAAAAGCTTGATATTTGGGTACCACATGTATTGAAAGAAATTCATTTAACACACCGAATCAACGCTTGTGATATGCACCTTAAACGCAATGAATTCGATCCGTTTTTAAAACGAATCATAACTGGAGATGAAAAATGGATTGTTTACAACAACGTTAGTCGAAAACGATCATGGTCCAAGCATGGTGAACCAGCTCAAACCACTTCAAAGGCTGATATCCACCAAAAGAAGGTTATGCTGTCTGTTTGGTGGGATTGGAAGGGTGTCGTATATTTTGAGCTGCTTCCAAGGAACCAAACGATTAATTCGGATGTTTACTGTCAACAATTGGACAAATTGAATACAGCCATCAAGGAGAAGCGACCAGAATTGGTCAATCGTAAAGGTGTCATATTCCACCAGGACAACGCTAGACCGCACACATCTTTGGTCACTCGCCAAAAACTGAGTGAGCTTGGCTGGGAACTTTTGATGCATCCACCATATAGCCCTGACCTTGCACCATCAGACTACCATTTATTTCGATCTTTGCAGAAATCCTTAAATGGTAAAACTTTGGCAATGATGAGGCTATAAAATCGCACTTGATTCAGTTTTTTTGCAGATAAAGGCCAGAAGTTCTATGAGCGTGGAATACTAAATTTGCCAGGAAGATGGCAAAAGGTTATGGAACAAAATGGCAATTATATATTTGATTAAAGTTCATTCTAAATTTTGTTAAAAATGCATTTACTTTCTTTTAAAAAATCCGCAATTACTTTTTGGGCAACCCAATATATATTGTGATCTTGGCTCAGATTTAGTCGGTACAATCACTATTTGAAGAAGCTCGACGATTCGTTCTAAATCTGTCATTAACAGTTTTGTCTTGTGAATGCGGATCGGTAAATAATTCGAAAATCGTTTTCTTACTCCAGCTAGCGAGATTATGTTTGCAAACTATGCTACCATTGGCTCTGATGCTTTCTACGTATAAAAAGTAAGGTTTGTTTCCTTCACATTTCGTGGCTTCACTGTGGCAGATTTTCATCGCTTGTCCAAGCACTTAAGAAAGGTTTAGAAAATGTCGGGAAGTATTTCTTCGGAAACTTATTCACCTTTTATACAGCCTTCTGGAAATCTGGACTGACAAACATTACTTCTCCTGATGCAAGTTTATTCTTTAATTTAATAAGTACGTCACATTTGTTTTGGTCAAACAAAATTTTAAATTTCTTTGATTGCGAGGTTTTCATTCCTAAAAAAGACAAAAAGCCTCGCTATGTCATTGGTTTGCGAGAAATTTTAAATTGCTTCGATTTCTATAGATATTTGAAAGCCAAGGTACACGAGTTCTGTGTTTTAAAAGCTCAAAGTTGTATACTGAAACTCTCATGTTTGCTTCAAGCAAGCTTTTTAAAACAACATCTACGTGCTCCACACGGCCTTAGAAAAAATTATTTCATTAACAAAATAAACGAGCCAATATTTGACAATATGTTCCCTAAAGACGTCATTAATTGCCTTGTGAAAAATTCCAGGAGCAAAGGTTTTAAAGATCCCGATTTGTGAGCATGCGCTTGGAATGTCCAGTCTCTTAATTGTGAAGCTGCCGTTGCCCAGCTGGTTGATGTAAGAATAAAAGCTAACATCATCGACGTTTAAGAAGAGCGATTTGGTGTCGGAGCATAAGGATTTGGCCACAGATGCCTTTTATGAGTGCCTGGAGCGTACTCATGAGCGCTGTCTCCGGAAAATTCGGAAAATTTTGCCTCAACAGCGAAACATCCCCTAATGGGTTGAAGCTGATCGCCAGGCCCGAAATATGGGTGTCTATAGAATTAGACTTGGCTGGCCATTGATCGTAAGACACTAAACCAGATCGATCATGTTGTGATAGACGGAAGATATGTCTCCAGTGTTCTTAACATGCGTACACTCCGAGGACCCAACATCGACTCGGACCACTATCATGCGCCTCTGTGTATCAAAAATCGCTCGTGATCAAACACAAAGAAGGTTCGACGTCGAACAGCTGAAATCACAACAGATTGTAAGGTTATCCTCAAGAAACACTACGTCGTTCAAATAACCACCTCGCGAATTTTAGAAATATTCGATCCTTTGCGTTCAATTTTCTAATCACAAAGAATTTAATCAACGTTTATTCATTATACACGACATCTCTAATATTTTCTCTTCACATAGCAGTGTTATCACCAATGAGTTCGCTTTGAAACTATCTCGACGCTCGTAAGTACCTCACCGAGAGTCCATACCCATCCCTGGAAAGATCTTACGATATGTTCTCGATAACATTTAATATACCCGCTCCGGAACATGCTTTAGCTATTACCTCTCCATTTCACCTTACCAAACCATAGCGGACCATAAACCGCACCAAACTGTTATACGCTGCAGATAAAGAGTGTTTTCAACAATAAATCTTTAGTTTTCCGAGCCCCAGATGCGACAGTTTTGCTTTTTGACTTCGCCATCGAAGTGGAAATGGACCTCATTAGTCAAAATGATTTTTCGATGAAATTCCGGATCATTTCCATTCATTTCAAGGACCCAATCAGAAAGACACGACGTTGTTTATGACCGGCTGGCTTAAGTTCTTGTGTTAACTGAACTTTATAAGCCTTAAGACTTAGGTCTATGTGTAAAATACGGTGAAATAAACTTTGTGGAATGTCTAATTGGAAGGAACAATGAGAAATGGACAAGCTAGTGGTTCTTGAGGGACATGCATGTTCATATCACTAACTTGTCTCATCAGTTTAATTTTTTTTCACCAATTTCTGTATTACTAATACTTACTACATAAGTATGTCAAAAAAAAATACAGTTTCAAAAATGACATCTATCAGAATAAGAGGCTAATCAAAATAACACCTTTTATCGGAACCCCCTTTATAATAAGTAACTTAATATTTGGTTTTGATAGGAAACCCCTTTCATTACTGGGGCAACAAGTGTTATATAAATCTATCTGCGCCTGTGAAATCTATATAATATGAAATTCCGAGAGCTGCGGCGAGGACTTTGTTTTATAACATGTAGTGATAATACCAATGTTCACAAGCTTATTATTTTAAAGCTTTTTAAGTGCTTTTTAAACGTTAAACTTTAACTATTAAAGGTTTTATTGCTATACTGCGAAAATTATTAAAAATTGTCTAGGTATTTTTGTTTGAATAGTAATATACATTGTTTCATTCCACCGTTTTTATTGTGTGTAAATGGTCAATGCGTAAGATGAACCAGTTGTTTATTATGACAAAAATTATATATTATATTTATCATTATTATATTTTAGTACTTATATCTTACAAAAAAAATTTTATTTATTAGTGGTTCTTTTTGTTCACATTTTAGTTCATTCCATGGATACTACACCAAACGTTAAAAACATTCAATCCAATGGTAATTTTGTTCCTTTCTATCAGTCGTAATAAACATTTTTAGTTTGTTGTAGTTTTGCATGCTTATTTTCTTATGATCGCGACTTTATATTAAAACTGAATTAACACTGGTTCTTTTCCGGGTCATCATGCTTATATTTATATGGATATGCTATCTTTAAATAAACTTAAAGAGCTTTATCTTTTTCGAATGTCCTATCCTATTAGGCCAGCACCATCATCACTTTAAAATGTTCTTTTTAAAATTAAATCGATTATTGTCCTATTTAAAAGTGATTATTTTTATTTGATTATTATTAATTATTTGTATTATTGACAATAACATTATTATTATTATTAATATAGTTGTGGATAATATTATTATGAATTATTTCAAATTTTTATTATGCGTACTATTATGTGGCATTTTTAATACAAAACCGGTTCAACGCATGTTAGCTCTGTCGATTTTTTCGTTGCTACTGCATGCAAAACTGAAATATTTACCTACCCCATTTCGATTAATAAAAACACCAAAGCTAACAACGATTTACATAAAATATGTCTTCTTGTTTAATAGCTTAGACCAAGCTTACGCTATTATAGTCGAGTTAACAACATTGCGCCATTTCGCATATTTGCCAAATGCTTTTTCACAATAACTGGTATATTCTCATTGTTACCGGTAAAGTAAATTTTGTAACTTTTTTAACCACCGGAATTGAATTTTGTATTCTAGCGCACACGTTACATTGTTTGACCAAACTATGGCAGCACGTTTTTTTCGAGCATGTCAAATTACGTTTGCTAGTTCGTAAAGTAAAAGAAATAGAAAACAGTGCGCAACAAAATAAATAATTTTAATTTATTTTTTTAAGGGATAGTTTTTTTCTCGCAAACTTTTTTTCAATGTATTCTAGACGTAAAATATGTCAATACCAAACTAACTACATAAAATCAAACAGCAGATTATTTGTTACTTCTTATTAAGCGGGTAACAATTTTACATAAGTAAAATTTATTACCTCGACAAAATAGGCCTGTATATCTTACGCAAAATATTTTCCTTAAGAACTGTTAACGCAAACTCATCAGATGTTATCGCCGTCCATACCTTCGCAAAATACAGCAAGACGGGAACGATGAGTGGCTTCCTTACGGAGCTTTTAGTGTTGCTTAACGTCAATTTGTATAGCCGTATAAATTTTGCGGGGATACCAAATTCACAGTGGAGTAAGGCAGTTCCTTTTCGGGATGTTAAAGTCATCTGGTCAATGGGGGATTAGCCATACTGATAAAGCCCAATAACATTGTTGACGGTGAGCTTTAGCACTTCACACAATGCGCTCGGTATAACCTTATATGCGATATTAAGGAGACTTATCTGACGATAATTCAATCAGACTGTAGGATAGCACTCACCGCTTTCTTATTTTGCAAGCGGACGATTGCTATTCGAACTAAATCATAGTCGGCCATTAAAACATATGTTTCATCGTCATCGATTATGGCATCGGGCTCGCTACCTCCTGGTGCTACATTTGGACTGCCATTCAGAAGGCTGGAGAAGTGTACCCTTCATAATTTCAGTATGTTCTGGACTTCCGTTACTAGATCTACTATATGTGACAGGAGTCGGCTCCAGTCTTGAAACCTACTGCAAGTCTTCATATCTTTTTTTAGAACTTTCAATCAAGCTCTGCATACTCACGCATTTTGTCCTCTTTCCTTTTTTGTCTGCACATGTGTTTTGCTTCCCTCTGCAATTCGTGATATTTATCCAAGCCCGCACGTTTAGTGGTCCATTTGGGATGTTTCGTTGTGGAGGGTGCGCTATGTTGCTAATTTCGTTCAGATGGGGATTTTAGCGAGGCGTTCATCGATCCTAGTGAATACTAGTACTCGACAAAGGAGCTCTACTCACCACTTTAACTGACTATTTCGGAAAGGCTCCACTGAGGCTTCCTGCCTTTTAGCCATGACCCAAGGTTCAAAACGGGTTGGTTACCACATCTTACATAAGGGTTGCAAATATTTTGAGGTATGCGCAAGGGTAAAAATTTAGTTTAGATCCTCGAATGTAAATGCGTACCCAGAAGGTTGCCTAAACCTCATTACACCGGATGCGATCCGTTATGGTAAAAAGAATCCCTGAAGTATTATATTTACCTTAGAAATGTATGTTTATAATATATTTTTATATTTTTCAGTTAGTTAAAATACCCGTAACTGAAAAGTTTTAGTTTTGCATATATTCTGTACTTACTGACTACGTATTTCAGAGGTTTTTTTTTTATTCTGCAAGGACTCCAATGTAACACCAATTATACCAAGAGGTAAACAATTTTTGCAATAGTATCTGCTATGAAATATTTGTTTTAGTTGCGCGGTTAAGCTTACTTAGACGACTAACTTGCGCTATTGCAGCTGTGGCCGGTTTTAATATATTGAAACTTGAAACATGATGAAAGTTTTATCAAAACCGTGTTTTTTTGCTTAAAATCCTGCAGTTGTTTGACATGGTATATAATTTAATAAAAAAAGTGTTTGAGACCACTTTTGTTAAGCGTTAACCTTCCTATAAACAAACATTAACACTAAAACAAAATTTTACAAATTGGTGATTATTTTAGATCACACTAATTTGAAAATGGGAAATTTTGATTAGGACCTTCTTCCAATTAACATTCAAAACTAAAACTTGGTAATTGCTTTCTAGAAAATCCTAGGAACAAGTTTTCGTGAGCTGGATTAAAAAAAATCAGTACTTTTGTACTCATCCTTTTGTATATATATATAAGTAAATAATATTTCGGATATGTAATATTTTATAACTTTTAGGTACATCCATATCCATTCAATCTTAAAAGTATTTATCAAAAACATGCAGATCATAAGTACAAACGTTAATTAATATGTTTTGAGTTATATATTATTATTATTATTTTCACATCTTACAAACGCTTACATATAAAATTTGGTACAAGTATATACGATTTTCCTATTTCCAAATTTCGGTATGGGTCCAAGTCCTAGCTCTCAAAAGAAGGTAAATGGAGACCCCATTAGTTTTTGGGTTTTGGTATTTTGTTATAGGAAGTTAAATCTCATTAATAAATGTGAATACAATATACAAATATTACTTCTTACAGTGACTACGCCTTTGTTCGGTAACAGTCGCAGTTATGTTGATCCGCATACATATGAAGATCCAAATCAAGCCATACGTGAATTTGCCCGCGAAATCGACGCAAATTATATAACCATTGAAGCTATTATAGGTAAAACTGGAGTTTTAATTTCTATTTAAGTAATAAAAGAGAACCATTTTTAGGCGGAGGTGAGTTCGGTGACGTGTGTAGAGGACGTTTAAAAATACCACCAAATTTCGTGCAAGACATTGATGTTGCAATCAAAACCCTAAAACCAGGTATCAATACGACGGTATAAACATCGATTTCTTTATAAAAATGTGTTCTTTTTAGGTTCATCAGAGAAGGCTCGCTGTGACTTTTTAACAGAGGCTTCAATAATGGGACAATTTGATCATCCTAACGTTATATACCTTCAAGGCGTGGTTACTCGTTCTAACCCCGTGATGATTATTACGGAGTACATGGAAAATGGCAGTCTAGATACATTTTTACGAGTAAATGATGGAAAATTTCAAACTTTGCAGTTAATTGCCATGTTACGTGGCATTGCCAGCGGGATGTCCTATCTTAGTGACATGAATTATGTTCATCGTGATTTAGCAGCTCGAAATGTATTGGTCAATTCTCAGCTAATATGTAAGATAGCTGATTTTGGATTATCCCGTGAGATAGAAAATGCGAGTGATGCATATACAACAAGAGTATGATAGAAAAAATTTGAAGATAATGCAAATATCTCTTATATTTACAAATCATTATAGGGTGGTAAGATTCCAGTTCGTTGGACAGCACCAGAAGCAATTGCTTTTCGTAAATTTACATCAGCTTCGGATGTGTGGTCATACGGAGTAGTTTTATGGGAAGTTATGTCATATGGTGAGCGGCCTTATTGGAACTGGTCAAATCAGGTAAATAAATGCTGAAGAAAATAAAGTAATTACTGTTATGAATTTAATTTCAGGATGTCATAAAAAGTATAGAAAAGGGATATAGACTTCCGGCGCCTATGGACTGTCCTGAAGCTCTGTACCAGTTAATGCTTGATTGCTGGCAAAAACAACGAACCCACCGACCTACTTTTTCAAGCATAGTCTCAACTTTGGATAACTTGGCTCGCCAGCCTCAAGCACTGCTGACAACACGAAATTCTCCAGAAAACGATGGATCCCATATATTAGAAGGTCAGCGAGGCCATAATATATTTATAAGTACTGATTTGTGGTTGGAAAACATCAAAATGTCCCGTTATTCACAGCATTTTAAAGAGGCTAATTTAGTCACTGCTCAACAGGTATGTATATACCATTTATTATATTCGAAAATTTAAGAATCCAAACTGCATGACCGACAGACCAATTAAATCTTATTCAGAATTGAATAAGCAAATCACAGATGTTTGCCTAAGCTTTTCTCCAGCTACTTTTTGCTGGGGTTGTTTTTGTTGTAGCGGCTGGTATAACCCCGCTCAAGAGCAGTAAAGATCAGTCTTAAGTTGTCGAGGTCATTTAACGGGAGGTCCAGCCAACGACCTATCCTAATTCTGATCACAGACGGGTTGAAGCAAGAATAAATATCAATTTGCGTCATATTGAATGTAATTTAGCTAAGGTAAATGTCTTCTTTTTAAAAAAAATCAAAGAGAATTAGTGAGTTTAAGGGCTTACCAAAGCGGTTTATCTCTTCAATTTACCGAAAAGTACTTATACTGATTTAAGATAATATAGGCCGTTTCCACCAAGCGTAAACTCTGAGTTTGCAGTTGCTGCCGTGTATAGTCGCAAACATCAAACTCACTTCAAACTAAGTTTTCACAACGGGCTTGAGTTGAGTTTACATATTTTTCACTATTTGCAACTGGCAACAATGACCATTTTACGTCATACCCCGTGCGAGTTAGGGGCTAAAGGCATGCCTGTCGTAAGAGGCTACTAAAATCCAGTAGTTCCCGCAACAGTCGGGTCCTTATATCGGAACGACCCGGATTTTTATCCGGCCAGGGACTATCACTCCCGCAACATTGCCCAAACAGTACTTTGGGTAATAATTTTGCGGTTACAACAACAACAACAACACCCATTTTACGTCTTTTTTTCTTTTCTGGTCTTTCATTCTTATCAGGATATGTTAGCTCTGTTTGACATACTGTCATTATTGTATGATTTTGCGAGATTCGTAATGTGGCGGCCGCGATATTCGAGTTGTTAGCTTTTCGCGCTGCCATTCGGAAGGCCCGGGTTCAAATTCTTCCAAAAAGTTAAAGATAAATAATTTAAATTAGAAATTTAGTTGAATTTTGTAACTGCGTAGTATAAACTTGCTGGTATATTTGCTGGAAAAACATCAAGACACAATACCACAAATTGGAGTAGGAGCTCGGCCGAAAATCGCTTCAGCGATGTGGAAACACTTGACAGTTCTCGTAAACTCAAAACATGCAATCACTGTGTTTAAGCTTAGTAGAAACGGCCTGATTCCGCAAAATGAAATTCTTCCGCAGCTAAGTCAGCTTGAACACCAACAAGTACTCCGAACCCAATTTTATTTAAGCGGTCATCTCTAAAAACTTCAAAATTGTTGCCTAAAGATTTCAGAGTTTAAGCCAAGTTTCGGAGAAAACTAAAATTTTATAATCACAGTTTAAGCTGTGTAAATATAAGTCTTTCAGCTAAGTGTTACGTTATGATAGTAAATATTCAAGTTAATATCTGTTAACAGTTTTTTTTTGCTCAGAGAAGGCTAAATTGTTCCTAATCTTTCTTTGCTTTAATACAAACTCTCTGACAAAAGCACCATTCGGCCAAAATGACGAGTTCAAAAGTACGTCGAGGCAATCAGCGGAAACGTCCATTTTAAAGGAAGCTATAGATCTTTCATAGGAAAAATTGAACTTCCAATATCCACACTAATTTAATTTACCGGATATATAGGATCGCACGTCATCCGCAGTTGTATCTTTTGCAAACCGCGATACAAATATGGACTTCCTTTTCGATACCACAACTAGCTCTTCTCTAGCTGTGGTTAAGGCCGAGGTAGGTGCTGGAGGAAGTAAACGCTCTGGAGCAGCGACTATTTCAACATGCTTAGATGCAGTCGAAATTGTAGTAGGAGAAGGGGCGGGTACGGAGTTAAGTGTACTTGAAGTCGGATTGCTTGCTACTTCTAATGTCATAGCTTTAACTCTAGTTACACAACCTATAGGGTTTGGAGGATTCCCCGTAGCAAGAAGAATAAAATGAAATCAAGTGTTGATTTCAATTCGGACTGATTAATGAATTTATAGGAGCGTCCGAAGCTGTAACTGGTTTATAACTATCCTATCGTTACCATGTTTTCGCTTCTTGGACCCTGGCTTCGTTTTCGGGGAATCAGAGGATCCAATGCACTTAAAAGGTTTAAGTGCGTCCTCATATTTTTGAAATCTTTCGGTAAGAACTTTCAAACCCTTCCCTATTTCCATAAAGCCACTCCTTATAGTTTTAAAAAGTTAAAAAATATCAATCTCAACATTTCTACATTTTGGGCATATCCAGTGAAGGACCCTCGTCGTCATGTATTAATTCAAGGACACGACCGTTTAGCCGGCGCATTTAGCGTGGGCTATCTCATCGCAAAGCCAGCAAGAAATATTACGTTCGGCATCACTTTTCAAATTACACTTTTTGAACGAACTGGCCATCTTTTATATAAAATAAAAGTATTAAAAATAAATATATAAAAGGAAATAAAAAATTAAAAGTTACAGAAGCACTGAAATAATAATTTAGCAAGCTTAAAAACAAGCGAAATAGCACAGTTTAAGAGGCAATGTAATAAAACTACGATCAGCTGATCGCTGTTAAGCGAAAATAATGAGAATATTGAGAGAGGGAGAAGGTAATAATTTATATGTATAAGCAAAACAAAGAAGAAAAAAATTAATAGATTAAGCAAACTGTAACAGTCTCTCTTCTAAATCTAAATAATAATATGTATGTATGTAAAAAAAAGCAAATAAATTAACTAAAAAAATGTTAGCACTATTTAATGTTGAAATGTGCCCAAAAATCAAAAGAATTTTACAGAACACTTAGCTACGACGGTACGGTGGTTATAAAGCGACTTAAGTTGGCAATAAACAAATAAAAAATAAGCAAAAACAAAATCAATTCTAATATAAACAGATAAACGAAAATTAAAAGAAAAACATGAGTGAAGGGTGAATCTTTATGTAATGAGTGATCACCGCTCAATCCAGAAAAAGGGACGACATTCAGTCGTGCAAATGCAAGTACTTCAACACCAACGAGCAGAGCAGGTCTTCAGCAGCAACATAGAAAGCAAAGAGTGTAATATCTATGTTGTTGTTATTGTTGTAGCGGCTACGTGAACCCCGCTTAGGGACAGGTTTGAAATCAACTGATTTATTTTCAGATTTCAACTCTCACGACAGCCGATTCTACGCACCGGAGTTAACCCGGATTTTATCCGGCCAAGTGCCCTTTCGGCGACCTAACCCCGTTTAGATCAACAGGTAACTTTAGTCTAAGTTCGCCAATGGAGCAACACCTTGCAGCTGGGTTGCTCCAAATCCTTCTGATCAGGACTGGTGTAGAAACCAACCCTGGACCGACGCACTATTTCTGTTGCGTGTGTCACAGAAGACTCCACCATTCCTCCACCTCGGTTAGATGCACCCAGTGCAATGGTTGGAGTCATCTTAAGACTTGCTCAGGCCTTAAGTCTCACAGGGAATGGACCACGAGTTATGTGGCCCCATGCTGCCAGCGTCCAACCGCCCCCCACCCAGCCTCCACGGCAGTGCCTTCAGCACTTTTACCCACCTTTGCTCTGGCTGGTGTCATTTTCGGACGTGCTCTGGCCTGCGCACCACCCGTGAGTGGAGCAATGCGTATGTTGCTCCGTGCTGTAGGAGTCTGCCCCTGCACGTCTCTACAAACCCTCCGCCAACCAACACCAACGTGCGGAACCAACTCTCGCGGGTAGTACAGCAGCAACACACACCATCCACGCATCACTACCTCATCCCCCGAATCTGGAACGTCCCCCCGAGACAGACCCGACTTCTACAATTTAACTTCAACGGACTCCAGGGAAAGATTGACGAGATAGTCGACTACATGAGCCGGGAGCACCTGTCAATTGCTGCGATCCAGGAAACCAAGCTAACCGCCCGATCAGATCTTCGGCGACTTTAACGCGCATCACGATCTTTGGCATTTTAGCCTGTCAAATGACCGTAGAGGAATGGAGCTGGCGGAACAGATAGACGATTCGACATTCTGCACAATGAACGACAACACTCCCACCAGAGTTATGGGTACTTGCCAAAGCTCGCCAGACATAACAATTGCGAGTGCTGGTCTGATAAACAGTATAGTCTGGCGACCTATACTGACGTTAGCATGCAACCTCTCCTCTGGAGCAACCAAGCTCTGGGCTACAGTCAAGTCGCTGTCTACCCGACGAGACGCGATGACCGGGTGAAAATTTCATTCGGTGATCGCGCCTCGTCGGACCCGAAGAGATGCGCGAGCTGTTTCAGCCGGCTTTTCACACTGCATCCCTCGGTAGACAAAGCGAAACGACGTGCAACCCGCCAATGGCCCAAACTGCCAAAGACCAGCGCGGTGCTTTATTTCTCCAGGGAGGAGGTTCAGGGGGTTATCGGGAAGGCGAGGGTCCTTAATTTGTCTCTGACCACTTTGTGTGGAAAATGGGTTGGGTGGTCCCGCTACTTAAACCGGGGAACAGCCAACAAAGCAGAGTCGTATCGGCTGATAACTCTCCTCTCCCCAGTAGCACTTGAGGCCTTACTGCTCCCGACCTTCACTCACCATCTGCGTCCAGCAGCGCATCAGCATGGCTTCTGAAAAGTGCACAGCACCACAACAGCCCTTAACGCCATAAACACCCAGATAGTCCATGGCCTTAACCAAAACCGACCCTGTGCGCGAACTGTCCTAGTAGCACTGGACTGTTCAAAAGCTTTTGACACAGTCAATCACTCAGTGCTACTAACGGACATTGAGGAATCCTCATTACCGCCGGGGTTGCAGAGGTGGGTCATGGGCTACCTGAGTGCTCGACAATCTTCGGTAATTTTCCGAGGAGTAACATCTTAACCCAGAAAAATTGAACTGGGGGTTCCGCAGGGTGGTGTCCTCTCCCCGCTACTGTTTAACTTTTATATCTCGAAACTCCCTCCACAACCAAAAGGAGTTTCCCTTACCTCTTATGCCGATGATTGTACGATAATGGCGTCTGGCCAGGATATTGATGACCTCTGTG